GGACGGAAGGCGTGGACTACCTCTCCAGGCGGCGGCGCTTTGCGGGCAGAACTGCATAGCAATAGCGCGCTCGACTGGGGGGATGTCCACATAGCCTTGGGCCGCTCCCCCGTTGAGGGTGGTGAGGACGGCAGAAATTGCTCTTTTAGAAGAAAACTCACTCTTTTAGAGAGAGCGCTGAAGCGCCCAGGGGAGGTCGCGGCGAGACCGCAGAATGGCAGCTGCAGCACGCCGAAGGTGAGCAGCACTGAATGGCAACCCCCGCTGACGCGTCGTAACACCAACGCTAGGCTGTTTCTTTGCAGACACTCGCGGAGATTCGTCCTAGTAGAAGGCTCGGCTCCGAAGCGAAAAGCTGATGTGCGTTTGCACGCGCTCTCCTTTTATACCCGCGCTGCGGGGCGGGGTGCGCGTGGCGAAACACGCACGCCAACTGTCATTGGCTTGTTTAGTTAACACTCGAAGGTGATTGGGCTCTCGGGCGAGATCCCAATTCGTCAGTCACGACTGACGTAACGTCGAACGTGACTGACTGAAAGGGAACAACAACCACTGGGTGGCGTTAGCTTCATATATCTACAGTATATATATAGAAATATCATTGATTTAGTCTATCCAGGGAGGTGTAAAAACTTTTTCCTTATCAAATGTCAATGACAATTACTGAAGAGAGATAGTAATCATAACACTTTACAATGAAACTTCACTAATAAAAAAGAATTTGCACTAGTGGTCGACCAATATGTCAATAGGGCCAATATTTGGTACGTTAAATTATCAGTATTGTCAACTTAACCTACTTGGTGAGTTTTGCGCAATAGACTTTTGGCATAAAATCTAATGCAAATTATTACTTTGTTAGGGGTGCCAGCAATTATGTGCAAGTGCAATTTACTCGAAACAAAACTAAATCTGCCTTCAACCACCCTGCTCTTCAGATACAAGCATCGGACGGAGAAAAACACCAATTAGCGCTTTAGTAATATGTGAGCTTACACATCAATCTATTTTACATGTCAGACTTACATATTAAAAGAATAGTTCACCCAAAAATGAAAGTTTGCTGAAAATGAGTTCATCCTCAGGCCATTAAAGATACAGACGAGTTTGTTTTTCATTGGGCCACATTTGTAAAAAAATGATCATTACATCACTGGCTCACCAATGGATCCAAAATATTAGTCCATCCATAATTCATAATAACACTTCCTCCAGTGAAAAAGTCCATCCCCTGCTGTACTCTCACATTAAAATCCACTAACATATTTGTTCAGAACTGTGTGAACTGTGATCAGTGCATATTTCTCTCCTGATTCAGACGAGGTGACATTTTCACTGGAGAAAGCAGTATTATGAATAGAGGACTCATATTTTAGCTGGAAGTGGCAGTTTGAAGTTAAAAACGTCTTCATGATGGGTTTGTTTCACAGCTTTTGACTTCACAAGATGTTTATTGATGGACTAAAGTCGTGTGGATTATTGTGATGTTTTTAGCAGCTGTTTGGACTCTCATTCTGACGGCACCCATTCACTGCAGAGCATCCATTGGTGAGCAAGTCACGTAATACTACATTTCAAACAAACTCATCTACATCTTGGATGGCCCGAGACCCAGCAATTTTTATTTTAAGGTGATTAAATTTTTTTTGAAATAATGCAATACATGTCTTTTTTTATCTGTTTAACATTACATTGCATTTAGGAACTCGCAAGTGCATTTCTCTAAACGCATTTGATCAGTGTAATCAGAAGGCACACGGGCCGCTCTCCTGCACTGACTGCAGAGCTTCTTTGCCGTCCTCTTGCTGGCAGGATATACAGACCTCTTCTTGAGAAAGCGGCACCGGAGCTTCAACATGGGGTGTCCGTGTGGATGTGTTGAGAGGGATGGAGCAGGACGCTGTCGTCGGGTTCAGCTGGCAGTTGAAGGTGGCCGTGATGCTGAGATTGACCATGGGGTTGGAGACAGACGGCTGCTCTGGTATGGACTCCTCCTGACTGGTGCGCTCCATCCAGTCAGCGCTGCTGTGACTTGAGTCTGGCTGACTCTGGCTGTCCGATGAAGTCATGGACGGCTCCTTCTGGCACCTGTCGACGGGTAACAGGCGCTGATAATCAGGTGTGCCGCTCGCTGAGGCATCTTGCTCCAGCTGAAGAGAACAAGAGATGGGAAAGCGATGAAATGAGTATCCCAAAATGCAATGTGCTTAATTTGATATGCCATTCAATATTTTTTCCACATTATTTGATTAGACTAATGCAAAAATGCAAAACAACCGCATTTAGTTCTTAGATGATAAATGCAAGACACTCTGAGTTAAATATGCAATGTGGAAATGAGGTCATGTGACAAATTAGTAATGTTTGAAGGATTTGTTGTTGTACAATATACAGAGAAGAGCATACTAGCATACTACCTTTTCTGAAATAAAAACAAAAAAGCAGAAATAGTAAGAGTAGTATGCTATTCCTTTAAATGGAAGAAAATAAGAATTACACTCTTAATACATCTTTATAGTAGGAGTAGTATGCTATTTCTGTCTATGAAAGAAAACAAGATATGTATCTATATTTAGCAGAAATAGTAAGAGTAGTATGCTAGCATGCTATTCCTTTCTATGGAAGAAAACAACTACTGTGCATGCATAATTATTAGGCAAGTTGATCATATTTTTTTTATCAATTCCAAACCACATCTTTTAATTTTGCTGAAAGATGCCTTATATTCACATGGGCCAAAAAGAGATTTAACACACTAAAAAGTCAAAAATGAAGGTGAAGAATTAGGTATTAAAGCGAGAATTAAACATCAGGAACCCTTTAGTCTCCAGTGCCACTGCGATTTCCAGAACGGCACACTCTATAAGGAGTCTCTATAAGTACAAGGTGTCAGGTTCTCAGAGACTTTGCTAAAGGAATCCTGAAACATGAGCCCCGCTTAATAAGAATCACAAGATGAAGTGTTGTGAGGTACGTGAAGAGGTTGAGAGGGACTCCTGGGGGACCAGCACCACTTCCTCTTATATCACTGTTTATCACAATAATTAATCTTCCAGAATTTTTCAGTAAGTTTTTGGGAGTTCATTTTAAGTCCAGGTTCATCATGCTCATTGTTAGTAGCAGATCACACCATGACTTCCTCGCCACCGCCTCTGTTGTCTGACTTGAACTGGTGCTGGTACCTCAAGAGTCACTCTCAACCTCAATCTGCCCTTCCTTACAAATCAGTCTTCATGTACTTCAAGACACTTCAGCTTACTTCAGGAGACTCCAGGTCATTCGCAGTTCTGGAAAACGGTGCTACTGGAGATTAAAAGGTTCCTGATTGTTTAATTCTTCACCTTACTTCTTTAAATCTTTAGCAGTTAATATCTTTTTTGTGACCCTGCTGCCCCAAGGAGCAATTTCTTGTCCAACTGTCACACCTTAATTTTGCAATTTTGGTAACACTTTAGTATAGGGACCAATTATCACTGTTGCTTATTAGCATGCTTATTATTATTAACATATTGGCTGTTTATTAGTGCTTATAAAGCACATATTCTGCATGACCATATTCTACATCCCTACAACTACCTTACTAACTATTAATAAGCAGCAGATTAGGAGTTTATTGAGGCAAAATTCATAGTTAATAGTTAGTTTTTTTAATAGCGAGAACTGAACCTTAAAATAAAGTGTGACCGCAATTTCTATAGTATTTCATCCTTCTCATGGGCATTTAATAATTTGTGACTTTTCAGTGTGTTGAATCTCTCTTTTTTAGCAACATGCTCAATAATTATGCACACCTGAATATAAGGCGTTTTTCACTATATATCACTTATAAATGATTATATACAAAATTAATAGTAGTTATTAAGATTGATGTGGTTTGGAATTGGTAAAAAGTGCTTGAAAAAAAAATAGTAAGAATATCAACTTGCCTAACAATTATGCATGCAATGTATATTTTTGTATGGCAGAAAAAAATTGTAGTATGCGATTTCTTTAAAGGGAAGAAAATGAGATGTACTCTAGCTACATCTTGCTATAATTTTTCATTGTATGCAGTACATAATATGCAATACGAACTTGAAAGCGTACCTTGTTGGCATCTGTGATCGGAACCTTTTGTAAACCTGCTGGAGGAACAAAGTAAAAAGACGTCACCTAAGGTGATCATTTCGCATAATTAATGATGCTGATTACAAGAGAAGCTAATCTGAATCTAAAGTGCTGATAACATTTAACTCAGCAACCGAAATCATTTTTCTGATCTCAGTCTGTTAAAATTGAAATGAAAATGCCTACAGTACCTTTCCTCTTTCGTAACTTGCAAGCGATAATCACCGTCACTGCCAATGTCAGCAAAACCAGCACGCACACAACAATGACTGGAGAGCACAGAGAAAAAGACAGAATCAGAGAAGAAAACTATTATACTATTCTTTAAAGCACCTCCATGAAGTACAATTTAAATACTATCACTCATAGAGTGCAATAGTCTGGTTCTAGAAAAATAAAAGTCTAATTTTCTCCAGAAGGGAAATGCTTTTTTAACGATAACTCACAAATCTTAAAAAAAAAAAGACCTGCTGTGAGCTACAATGGCATATGCTGTTGCTGAAGCCATCAGCCTGCGTTTTTTAAATAATCATGTTTATCAGCAGAATTCCAGATGAAAAACTACATCTTCCTCATTGTGCAGAGAAATTTCCAGTAATTGGGGAACTGCAAATTGCGCTAAAAATACTCTTTGTGAATGAAGCATTGCGAATTATATAAATCCAGCTAACAAAAATATGTTCTAAGAACATTCCCAGTGAGTTATGAGAATGTTATTTCTGAATGTTCTCTAAAAAGTCAAAACTTCAACTTTTTAAAATGTTTAAAAAATGTCATATATGAACATTAAAGGGGTCATATGATGCTGCTAAAAAGAACATTATTTTGTGTATTTGGTGTAATGAAATGTGTTTAAGTGACCAGCACGGATCAGCTCCAGGCATGACGAAGCGATATTGTCCTCTTTTGGAAGGCCAAACAAAGTAGATTCGCTTTCACAACAAAACACAGAGTCTTCACGACATGGCGGCGGCAGCAACAATACTACAGCGAGAATAAAAGTTACGCCTTCTTTCTTTGTGTGAACATTTGGGCGGCATTATGCAAATCTTCCCACATCGTGACGTAGACATGTGGGGGCGTGTTAGAACGAGCCGTTTTAGGTAGGCGTGGTTGACTCTTAACTTTTATAAAGAATATCTCTTTGGATTTGAGACTTTAGTCTGCAACTTTACAGATCTTCTTTATGCACCAAGAGCTTGTAACACTCCAAAGAGAAAGGAAAAATTGAAATCGCATCATATGACCCCTTTAAGGGAACATTCCACTTTATCATTTTGCAAACATTATGGAAATGTTACTTTTGAATGTTTTCTGAAACAACTAGGAACATTTAAAAAATTTTGTTTTTAGAAGACCAGATAACTTTGAACGAACATTCTATTAATGTTACTAGATGAACTTTTATTCATAACTTCAAGAGAACCTTGCCAGAATCTTCTGAGGATGTTCTCTGTTAGCTGTTGGAGAGTCAATCTTTGTACCACCAATTAGCCATCATTTTTAATGAGATTTTGTAAATCACAATGCTTCATCAGATTGTACTTCTTTTTTCCCCCTCATTAAAAAAAAAAAAAAGTACATAGTCTTTGTCTTTTCGCTTAATTTTCAAATACTTTTTTGTTTCAAATCAATTGTAATGTGATTCACTTCATAGCTTATTGGTTTGGTTCATGGCTTAAAACAGTTTAACAGACTTTTTAAAAATCCTTTTGGAAAAAAAAAATGAATAGGAAAAGTACTTATGGAACCAAAGCTGCTGAAAAAGTGGGTGGGCACTGTTGAACTATATTAAATGCCACTTTGAAATATTTGATTCTGATAGGCTGATCACAGCATTCAATCATATTTGCTAAATTTTCGCAACTCTTTAACTGACCTTTGTAAAAAGTGACTTATTTCCCCCATAGCAAATGTTATTCTGATAGCATGGTAACACTGTGGTACTTTTATATGGGTTGTAAACTAAATTCTAGTGACATGGCCTCATATTTACCAATATAGTAGATCATCTCTTTTGAGTCAGGGGATCGACTTTTGCTGAGTGTTGTTGATGTGCTTGGTGTCGCGCTGCTCGATGGAGGCAGAGATGTGGTGGTGGTCATGTTCATGTGCTGTGTTTCCTCCGTTTGGCTCCATAATTTACTCGGTTTTGGCTGAGGATACTTGGGTGATGGTGGTGGTGTCATCTCACACAATGTGTCAGTTGTAGAGCTGCCAAGTCTTAAAACTGACCTGCCTTCACATCTAACAGAGAAAAAGACAAATAAGCCATATGCATGTGTGTGCATTTGTAAGTAGTGAGTCTTTCTTTCCATTTGCATCTTACTGCGTTTGTGGTTTACACCGCTCAGCATTACTGTGGTTTGAAAACGTTCCAGACGGACACAATGCACACTTGACATCAGATATAGGTGATCCTGCATTCACAAACACAGCAAAATGATGATAACACATGGCATTAGCCTATTAAAACAAATGTTCAAATAATGCATCAAATGACTTTATGTATTTGACTGGATAAATAGATTTATTTCCCAATGAAAATGCTAGTTTAAATAGCCAATAACTGGAAATCATTTCCTACTTGTTGTATTAGTGGGTGTAGATATTGAGGGGAAGGGCATTTGAAAACTAGAGCATTTTATTGGACAAAAGTCTTTTATTTTCCCAGAAGAGACTGTATATTTTAGATGTGAATGTGTTAAAAGTGAATTTCGTCAACTTTTACTTGTGTTGGTGAGTTTAGAGCTAACAGACATAGACTAAAGGCTACACAACTCCAATTCTGACTACACACATGTAAGTGTTTGTGTACAATAGCTAGATTATTTAGCCTCTTACCTTCTTTGGCGACATATTCACCGGGTTTGCAGGATCTATATTTTTTACATTCCTCACATTCTTGATTGAAATTACGTTTAGAACAGAACATCCCAGGCTTGCAAACGCAAACAGCTTTGGTATCAGCAGAGCAGTTTTTGCCATAAATCAGTCCTTTCACTAACCAGAAGAAACGAACAGCAAGTCCGTTAGAAATTTAATGGGGAAAAAATACAAGAAAATTCGGTAACATTTTATTTGAAGTCCCATTTGTTAACATTGGTTAACTATATTAGGTAACATGAACCAAGAATGAAAAATACTTCTGAAGCATTTATGAAAGTTCATATTAATTTCAACATAATGCAATATTAACGTCAATATTATTTAATGGACCTTATTTAAACGAAACTAACAATGAACAGTTGTATTTTTAAAAACTAACAAAGATTAATAAATACTGTAACAAATGTACTGCTCATCGTTAATGAATTAACTAACATTAACTACAGGGACGTTATCGTAAAGTGTTACTGTAAATTCATAAGCGATATAAAACTATATGGTAAACAGTCCTCAAATTAGTAAAGTTGTGGAAATCAGCATGTCGTTTACGTTTAATATGTAAATGTATATTTAATATTTGACTTAAAGCACTAGTTCATACAAAAATGCAAATTCTGTCATCATTTACTCTTCAGACATATGGTAGCTTTGTGTGAGGAACAGCCAAACATTTAAGTCATTTTTGTAGCTTGAAAGCCTCTGCTCACCATTCACTTTCATTGAGCAGAAAAGTGAGGTGCTGAACTTCTCATTTTGTGGTTTACCAAAAAAAGAAATTCATAAGGGTTTGGAAGACCACAAGGATTTTGGATGAGCTGTTTCTTTTAGGGTGTTTTCAAACCTAGTTAATTTGAGCCCTCCAAACAGAGCTCGGTTCAGGCTGTAAATGTGAACCAACCAAACCAAGTGATTTCAGACCCCCTAAAAGGACCCAAAAGCGAACCGTACTCACCCTCAAGCCATCCTAGATGTATATGACTTTCTTCTTTCAGACAAATACAATCGGAGATACATTAAAAAATGTCCTGGCTTTTCCAAGCTTTATAATGGCAGTGAATGGGTGTTGAGATTTTGAAGTCCAATAAAGTGCATCCATCCATTATAAAAAGTGCTCCACGGGGGGTTAATAAAGGCCTCCTGAACCGAATTGATGCATTTGTGTAAGAAAAATATATATATTTAAAACTTTATAAACCGTAATCTCTAGCTTTAGACATTTTTCTTACACAAATGCATTGCTTCACTTCAGGAGGCCTTTATTAACCCCCCGGAACCGTGTGGAGCACTTTTTATGATGGATGGATTCACTTTATTTTATTGTACTATTGAATATCAACAGCCATCACTGCCATAATAAAGCTTGGAAGAGCCAGAACATTTTTTAATATAACTGAGATTGTATTCATCTGACAGAAGAAAGTCATATACACCTAGGAGGGTTCGAGGGTGAGTAAATTATAGGGTCATTTTAATTTTTGGGTGAACTATCCCTTTAAAAGATTTAATAATAGGGGTAATGAAACATGGACATGAAATCTAGGCAAAGTCTAGATTTTATTAGAAATACAATATTTTTTTCAGGCAGTAACCATGCTCTCTTCCCCTGAATATTGTCAAAAAGATTATACTAAAAATGTTACATCTAGGGGATGTGTAAACAGTAAACATAGAAGGCAATTGTTACATTACTCTGTTACATTTTCTATCAAAAAGACAAACACCATCCAATAAAAGTTTAGGCATAACTGTTTTTCTCTCATTAAAGCAAAGGTATGTTTTAAATAAGTGCACATAACTTGGAGACAATGTCTTAAATTCTTCATACTCCAGTATAGTGCCATCATTTTTAAATAAATCCAAAACAAAGGTAATACCTCTATCATACCACTTGTCTATAAAAAAAGGATTTGTTTCTGATTAAAATATTAGAATTATTCCACAAAATTTCTTTGTGGGGAGAAAAGTTGTGCACATAACACAATTTCCAAGCAAGTTCACTTTCATCTGGTTCACTTAAAGGGATAGTTCACTTAAAAATGAAAATTCTGTCATTAATTACTCACCCTCATGTCGTTCCAAACCCGTAAGACCTTTGTTCATCTTCGGAACACAGCAACACAACTACCAAGTTCAAGGCACAGAAATTGTTGAATAAAGTTGTTATTTTTGTTTTCTTTGCGGACAAAGTTTTCTCATAGCGTCATCAAATTACGGTTGAACCACTGATGTCACATGGACTATTTTAACAATGTCCTTACTACCTTTCTGGACCTTGAACGTGTTAGTTGTGTTGCTGTCTATGCAGGGTCAGAAAGCTCTTGGATTTCATCAAAAATATCTTAATTTGTGTTCCAAAGAAAAACGAAGGTCTTATGGGTATGGAACTATTTGAGGGTAACTAATGACAGAATTTTCATTTTTGGATGAACTATCCCTTTAAGTGAACTGGGTTTGGTTCTTTTAAAACAAACTATATGTGAAAACACCCTTAGATGTATACCAATTCCAGATTAGTACTGAAACAAGCCTTTTTGACCGTGGAGTGTTTTATTAAAATAGTCAACTCACCATCTCTACACTTTCGACAAGAGAAACAGTTGGGAAAATGGTTCAGATTTTCTGAGTAATGTCCATCTTGGCAGGGTTCACAGATGGTGTCCGAATTACTAGTGCACTCAAACACCAGACGAGTCCCTAGAATAAATATAAATACTTCAGAGGTCAGTTATAAATTAGTCACAATGTTAAGACTGTGCCCAAAACACACTGCACGATTTTAGCAATCCTGTATAAAATCACTGCATGTCACATTGTGCGACATGGATCTAATAAACCTGGTTACGACGTGTGTGTACACTGTACGATGATGACACCTATTGACTCGTACGATATGACACACGTTACTATAGAAGAATAAAACGTCATCAGTATGCGCTAGTAGTACACAAAAAGCATGATAAATCACGCTTTAGCAGTTGTATTTTTTTATGTGTGCTGAAAAAAAGTGGAAGCAGCGAAAGAGGAAGGCATAAGAGCTTGAGGTAAGCAGTTTTATGTTTTAGTCGCGTTGATTTCATGTCGCATTTTTATTGGTTGGTCAGTAAACGTGGATCGTACCCAGGGCCGTTTCTAGGCATAGGCGAGCTAGGCGGTCGCCTAGGGCGCCACCAGCTAAAGGGGCGCCAATGAGCGCACGTACTGGCACTTTTAGCAGGGTTGTGATAAAGAGTGGCACGGTCACCCTGAAATATGACTGCCGCCCCCACTGGATCCCCCAACATTATTGGGCTAGAGTACTGTCAATCTGACGATGCCTGTATGTCACTAGATCAGAGTGCTGTCAATTGCTGCCTGATTGTTGCATGCAAAGTTTGCATTTGGAGCCAAATGATTAAGTAGCTGCATTGGTTACTTTTATGCCACTGATAAAGCTTTTATATGTAGTTTGGGGTAACAAAGGGGTTTTATAGGTTTGACTGAAATAATAATGCAATAACTGACACTTTAAATCAATGTTTCAAGAAACAACAACAAAAAAATTGAACAAAAAACAGATAAAGACAAAAAAGTAGCCATTGACAATATCTAAACAATATGTAGTAGTATAGTATATAGTATCCAAATCTATTGGCAATAGGAATTTTGCCTAGGGCGTCAAATTGGCTAGAAATGGCCCTGATCGTACCAGCAAACACACTGTGCGATGATCATGCTGTATCTTTGGTCGCAAGATCGTGACAACGGCCGTCTTTGAACCTCTGTCACTGTACGACACAGGACCACCGATTAGGAGCCACGATCGTTTCACGATGCCAATCTTTCGTCTGGGACAGCCGAAAATCGTGCATTGTGTTTAGGGCTTTAAGAAGTAGTTTGACTAAAGGCTGGAATACACTACACGACTTTTAAAATCTGAACAGATTTTTAAAACACTGGCCATCATACACTAAACGACTGAGGACGATACTAGGGGTGTGCGATATTGACAAAAAATAATATATTTTCTGGGATTTTATCGATGACGATACAAAAACAAGCAATGTGGTGTCTAAAACGTAAGTCTCTTAATTAACTTATTGTTTATTGAATTCAATGTCACATTTGTAATCATGGTATTTTTTGGAGAAAAACGGCACTCTTCGTGTGAAATTGAATAACTATATGAAGTGGTATAAATATATACATTTTCTGCCATCATGTCTTGAATTTGTGATCATTCTAAATGCATTTTAATAGACTGAATCATGCAGTGAAAGAACGCACTCTAAATGCGCACACGCACTAGTCTAGACTTCACGTAATGTATGCGTGCGCTCTGTAGGGATGTTTTGAATGGTTTTTGCAAAATACTCGATAATGTAAAATCGCACATCGTTAAAACAACAATTACGATATTATCGCAGACGATATATATCGCACACCACTAGACGATACTCTAGCAGACTTTGAAGTCGTTCCGATCACAACAAACTCACACAGAAACGTGCGGCTTGTTGCTAGGAAACGAGTGACAAATGAAAACAATGTGTGTTCTAAAATTGGCTGAAAATTTCAAACATGTTTGATTTTCTCCGACTGGGTGGATTTAGAGTCTGAAGCTAAAAAAATCAGAGTCTGTGACCATCATACACTAAGTGATTTTCTATGAAAATCTGTCAACTCAAATCAGCTGACTGGCTTTGACTTTCGCCAACTAGCGTGGACTTCTCCAGACTGTAATTGGGTGGAAAATTGGAGTAAAAATTGTGTGGCGTATTGCAGGCTTAACTAGCAGTTAACCAAGTGGTAATCAGTCTTACTTTTCAGATTTAAATTAGACAAGTATACTATTTTATGTAACTGACTTAAAGTTATGACCAGTCTTGATGAAAAAAATTGGATGACTAACTTTTAAGACTAGTCTAAGTAGTTTATGCAACTGGCCACAAAACTTGGAGTTGCTTCAAAATGTCATAAAAACAGTGATATTTCCTTGTAAATTAAACACAAATGTTTACATTCTCTCCTACGCTCTGTGCTTTACGACCTACCTGGTTTGCATCTACTGCAGCACAGTTCCAGGTGTCTGACGTAATATTCGGAGGATGCATTGTTACATGTTCCAACTGATCCATATGGCAGAGGTATCTATGAAAACAAAGGGGAAAAAGCCAAAAATATCACTGACATTTTCCTTGGATTATCAGGAACTGATTCTTGTCTTGTGAACGAAACACTGCCCACCACTTCCTCATAGTCACAATATACGTCTTCTCTGAGTCTTTTCCCAAGGACGCAAATGCTGCTACTAGAGTCTTTAGTTTAGACAGTTTATTTGGCGCAGGCTTTTGCACAAGGTTCACATGTTTACATGAAATATGTCAAAAACAGTACAAATATCCATTTGTACTGAAAACGCTGATGTGATAGTTTCAGATTTGCACTTGTCAGCTACAAAAAAGAAGCTCATTAACAAGTGACAAACTGATATATCAGCCAAACCGATTAAGTGGCTGATATATAGTCATTTTGATAATGATAAATTTACCTGCTTCGCAGTTTAACATAAACACAACCTTTTGTGTCAGCAAGAATCTACTAACAGCTTTATCAATGAATGAAAAAAATTTTTTTAGTGTTGTACAAAAAAAAAAAAGGTTTCGCTAAAATTTTGAGAGGCGGCTCATTGCCGAAGGACTTTACTATGATCAATTAATTTATCAATTTATCATAAAGAGTTGAAAGTACCCTAATTTCATTTTATTTTCAGTTTCAGCTAAATGAAAACTTTATATATGCACTGAAAAATTAATGCCAGTGTATTGCTTTTTTTTTCAACCACAATTTTATAAAATAAGCTTTTGTAAAGTAATAGTGCTGTCAAACGATTAATCGCGATTAATTGCATCCAAAATAAAAAATTTTGTTTACATAATTTAAGTGTTTGTACTGTCTGTGTATATTTATTATGTATATATAAAGACACACACATACAGCGTATATTTAGAAAATATTTACATGTATATATTTATATTCATATAAATTATATCATATATAAATAAATATATTTAATATATAAACGTAACATATTTTTCTTAAATATATACATGCATGTGTGTGTATTTATATATACATAATAAATATACACAGTACACACACACATATATTATGTAAACAAAAACTTTTATTTTGGATGCGATTAATCGTGATTAATCGTTTGACAGCACTATAAAGTAATTATAAAAATCTTAGCATAATATTAGCCAACAGCCACCCTGATATCAACAAACGGGAATCACCATTGGAAGGTATTAATTTGACACATTCAAATCTGTGATACCATTTGAATTTGACCAGTATGGGTTTTTCCATGCTGTTGCTGATGTAAACATAGATATGAATAAACATGACAATTTACTGAAAGGAAATGGGACATATATAGTTTAGATGTTGGCACAATAATTACTGATCTGAAAAATTTGTTATGCAAATTTTGCATTATGACATTCTCACGCTGGTCAGTAGGATTTGGAAATGACAGAATGAAGTAACTGACTTTATATTCTACATTCCTTTAGCCTACACAGTTAAGAGGTCAACCACACGCATGGCGTTTTTGCAGTGGAAAGTGCCGTGAACCGATACGAATGGCCAAAATGGGCGAAGGGCAATGGAGTGTGGCAAAGATAAAAGACTGAGGTTTATCTGACCTTTAATGACCTAAGTTCTGACCACTATACTGGGTCTGTCCTGACAGATTTGCATGCATACAGAGACTCTGCGGATTGCGGTGTCTGAGTGCAGTAGGTGTCCATGCAGAACTCCAAATGAATGGGGGGGGTGGGGGAGGTTATGCAGAGGAGATCAAAAGCAGAAGTGAAATCAGAAGGAAATGACTGTTAACAAGCTAAATAATAACGTGCAAATTAGTACGGGAAAAACAGTAATGACTGGGAAACTCAGATCGGGAAACCAGACAAGCTGTTCAGAGGAAAAGCAAAGGGACTTTTGTAAAATGTCGGGAACTTTTTGACTGCTCTGAAAGTCCAGCTTAAATTTGTTTATCTGCTTTCAAAACTTGCCACTGATCAAATTTACCAAGAGGTCATTTATGATATTTCTTGATATGATTATCATATTTGTATGGAAGCACGCTTCCGCCATTGAATAAAAAATAAAAAGAAGGTATTTGCAACTATATCTCGCAACTCTGAATTTTTTCTTGCAACCGTTTACACTTCTCAATTCAGATTTTTTTATGCAACAAACTCGCCATTGTGAGTTATGAAGTCAGAATTGTGGTATATAAACTCACAACTGCAATAGATATATTTTTTTCGCAATTGCTAATTTATATCCTGCATTTATGACTTTTTTCTCACAGTTGCAAATTTATATTTTGCAATCACGAGTTTATAAAAAAAATCTAAATTGCTAGTTTATATCACCCAATTTTGAGAAAAAAGTCAGAATTGCGAATTTATATAAAGCAATACTGAGAAAAAAACTGTCAGAATTGTATTTGTTTTATTTTTCCAGATTGTTTGATATCCACCAAAGCAAATCTTACAAAACATATCCAGGTCACATTTTTTCTTTACCTCAGAATCAATGTAAAATACTAATTGTATTATGCTTAAAAAAAATTATGCATATTTTTTGCAGCAGTCAAGAGTAAATGTATGTTTGCAGCTGAACTCCCATAGAAACAAGTGTTGCAATGCAATCAAGTTTAACGCAAAATCATTACAAATCACATTTCAAAGGCCTAGTATTTCCCACAATTCTCAGTGTGAACCCTCAAATGGTTAAAGGTGGATTCAGCAAGATCTCTCACAGAGTTTTGAGTCTGTATCGGCACTATTACTGATCTCTGCATCTAAAAAAGGAAGTTGCCAGAGGATTGCACTTTCTGCCACAGACCAAATTGCACAGAATGATTTAAGAATTGTCGCAATCGAATGACACACTCAACTCATGTGGTGGGTTCTTCTGACAAATGACTCATTTATAACTGACTGAAAAAAACTGTATGAGATAAAAGGGCTACCATTTAAGTCAACATCAAATAAAAATTTTAGCTTATGAAAACAATGTCTGCAAGAAATTCACATCCTGATATAATCAAACAGATTAGACGTTACGAAAAATGACTGCATCATCTCTAAAACCATTGACAAGTCTTCTCAGCCAAACAACAAACACTGAAGATGTTAAGAGGAAATTGTTGAGGTGTGTTACTGGGAAACGACCCACATATACAGGCCAGCAGACTTCCTCCATGCAACTGTGCGCTTTACTGAAAACCGGAGACTGAGCGCTTATCTTTACTTTATCAGCATCCTTGTAAGCCAACCAAACCAGAGTAAAAGCCTCTCTCTGAGTCGATTACACCAACAAGCCCTAACATATTTACACACTGCATGTAAAAAGCACACACGTGTTTCTTGTTAAAAATGCATGCAACCTAATCAAGATCATTCAGTAATCTGTGCATGAATCTTTTTATTATTTAAGCAACTGCGTGCTCTTTGTTCTGAGCTTCAGCAAGTTTTTCAGTCAAAGCAGGTTTATTTTCCCATGACTTGTAGATCATGTACGTGGAATTATAACAAGCAGAGCAAGTGGAACCTGCAGTGTAAGTTTTTAAAGAGGTGACTAAAGAGACAGAAACAGGGCTGTTTAACAAGGCTTCATTTACATTCTTACTTGATATGTGGTAAAGTACGCGGATGTGTTCTAGTTAAACTGTGATGTACGTGAACTCCCCACCTTCTCAATCTAGACCACAAGAAAAACTAGCTAGAAAAATGATTCGACATTACACTGGATACTTCCGTTCTAGACAGCACTTGCGGTAGGCAGCTTATCACCCTGATGCCCAAAGATGCTGCACACTGGGTTATGATGGCGAGAACTGCGGTCTTTGTAGGGCTCGTTGGGTTTTTCCAGATGCTTATGTCCAACAATATTGTCTATGTAGGCACTGTAGATGAATAGATTTCGCCTATGCCCATCATGCCCAAAATGTTGCCTAAATAGACAGCCCACTATATTTTAAGATACCTACACTCTTAAAAATAAAGTTTCTTTATTGGCATCAAGGGTTCCACAAAGAACATCCACAGAATCTTTTCATTCCACAAAACTTTAAAGTGGAAAAAGGTTCTTCAAACTAAGAAAAAAATCCCATGTCTATTGTTGCACACTTTGTTTTGCCAGTCCATGCAGGCAGTATATTATGCTTTATGATGCCATCTAGGTAGGCAAGTCACTTGGTTTTTCCCAAAAACAGGCCATCTAGATTGGCAGTATGCTGGGTTTCGCATATGCCCATTATGACAAGATACGGTCTAAGTAGAGTGGTGCTTGTGCCCAAAATGCTGTCATTGCGATTTCACTTTTTTAACGTTAATTAGTGTGTAATGTTGCGTTAGAAGTGCACTAGAGGCGGTTTAGCCAATCACAACACACTGGGCTAGCTAACCAATCAGAGCCCATCCCGTATTTCTGAGGGAGGGGCTTCATAAAAGAAGAAAATAATCAGCGCTTTTCTCAGAGAAGGGACAGAGCGGTGTGGAATAAAGGTAAATTATATGAAAAATAATGCGTTTTAAAAAAAATGAAGCATTAACACATGTTAGACTGCACCCCATAAATACAATCAAGCCTAGAAAAAAAACAGTGAACCACCCCTTTAAGATACTTATGATGCTAAACATTGCCGTTTGGGTAGGTAGTTCACTAGTTTTGCCCAAAAATGCTGTGTAGGCACACTAAAAAAAACGGCATACTGTATGCTGGTTAGGTATGTTTTGAAGCATGACAGCTGGTTTGAGCTGCTTTAAGCTGGTCCTGGTCAGGTGCTGGTCCTAAGCAACTGGCTCTCACTCAGGACCAGCTCATAACCAGCTCATGACCAACAAAGGACCAGCTTAAACCAGCTGCCATGCTTCAAGACATACCTTACCAGCATACGCTGTTTTTTCAACAGGGTCTTATGATGCCCAGCTCATTTTGGTTTGCCAAAGACAACCAGAAATGCTGTCTAGGCAGTATATTATGATGCCCGAGCCATCTAGGTAGGCAGGTCACTTAGTTTTTCATGTAGACCACCGTTCTCAAAAATACCACCTGGGTAGGCAAGCTTGCTGGGTTTTGATGAAGACCAAACATAGAGTCTAAGTAGACTAGTAGTGCCCAAGATGCCCAAAATGTTATCTAAGCATGCTATTTTTTAAAATACCCATGATTCTCAAGAATGCAGTTTGGGTGGGTGACTCACTTCGTTTTTCCAATGTTGTGGCCAAAAATGCTGTGAAATACTTATGATGCCCAGCTCAATTTGTTTTGCCAACGACACTTGAAAATGCTGTTTACAGGCAGTTACATTATGATTTATGATCCCAAATATGCCATATAGGTAGGCAGGTCACGAGATTTTCCTTCATTAAAAAAAAAAAATATATATATATATATATATATATATATATATAATTTAGGTAGCTGCCCAAACCGCTATGTTTTAAGATGTCTATAATTCCTATATAAGATGTCAAGACTTGTAGTACATTAGGTCACTATGCCACCCACAATGTTCTACGTCAAGAGTCAAGAGGCATTTATTTATCATTTGCATAGTTAACACTGGGGAAAACTGGGCATTGAAATGCTTGTAGGCAGCATACTAGGTCTAGGTAGAAAGCGCACTAAAGTAGCCTATGCACGTGATAAGCAAAACTATGGTGGCCGAGAAGTGCAAAGCAAATCACAATTCTGAAAACAACAAATTACAAACGCAAATGCAAGTCTAAAAAACAAAATAACAATTCAGAAAGCACAACAACAATTCAGAAAACATTATAACAAGTCAGAAAACACAATGACAAATTCGAAAACAAAACAACAAGTCATAAAACACAAAGACAAATCCTAAAACAAATTAACAAGTCAGAAAACACAACGACAAATCAGACAAACCGGAAAAGGTAGGTATAGTTTGAGACAGCGCCATTGGTTTGGGATACTCACTGCTGACTGGATGAGACATCTGTCAATTAACGTATACAGGAAGAACCAGCCGAAGAGCAGCAGAGTCCTGGTAGAAAGTTCGGAGATGGTATTAAAGTAGCTCAGTTTAAATGTATTGTATGAATTGCCCTTACTCTGGAATAAAAAATACGGAGTGTATATTTACATTTAGTTAAAAGTGGTTGTAAGTCATCAGCTCCAGTGGCGCAGTTGGATAAGCGTGTGCCGTTGGCTTTTTGACGCGATCGACCCGGGTTCGATCCCACCTTTTGCCGAACTTTTTTTTTCTCCCTTTTCAAATCTCGTATCACATCGTAAAGGCATTTATTTTCAATAAAAATTAAGGAAATAATCAAAAAGTTGAAAATAAAGTATCGGGTAGGGTTAGGGTAGGTGTAGGGAGGGCTTTATTGTACCAATAAGGTGGCATCCATTTAATAATAAAATAATAAAATAAAAATTATAATTTACACTCAATACGTTATTATTG